TAAATATTTACTTATTTTTGAGAGAGACCGAGAGAGAGAGAGAGAGACAGAGAGAGAGGCAGAGCACACGTGGAGGAGGAGCAGAGAGAGAGAGAGGGAGACACAGAATTGAAAGCAGGCTCCAGGCTCTGAGCTGTCAGCACAGAGCCCGACGTGGGGCTCAAACTCATGAACCGTGAGATCATGACCTGAGCCGAAATCGGACACTCAACCAGCTGAGCCACCCAGGTGCCCCAGCTGCATTTTCTTAAAGCAGATCCTCCAAAGGATAGAAACTTCAGGCCCCAGAAAACCTGTTTCCATCTCTGGGCCTTACCTCAACCAGCCTGTGTTCCTCGGTTCTGGGAGGACACGGCCTTTTCCCCTTACCCTTGTTCCTTCTGCGCTTGGGACGGCTGGCACCTCCTCTTCCTTCAGGTCACACCTGTCACCTCCGTGAGGATGTTGGTCCTCTTTGCCTGCCCCAGACGCGATCTCCCGTAGAAGGGTCTCAGCCCTGACCACCACCTTGACCGTCGGTTGTGGGCATCTCTCCCTGGCCTTGGCCGTCCTGAATCACAGAGAAGTCCTTGAGCTGTGTCAAGAGTTCAGGGACGGCTTTCAGAAGTCACTTTACGAACACCTGCTCCTGTGTCGTGGGCCACGGATAGTAGGACCGGCTCTCCTACCTCTCGAGGGCCCATCTGGCAGCCTGGAGAGTCTCACGATTCCCAAGTCAGACTTGGAGTGAGGCTCTACTTCCTTGTGGTGTCATCCTGGGCAAGGCCCTTGGCCTCTCTGTGCCTCAGTTGGCCCATCTGTACAAGGGATGGGAATGGCAGTAACTAACCTCCTAGGCTGTCAGGACAGTTACATGAGTTCATGCACGTAATAAAGCCCTCGGGGCAGTTGATGCCTGCCGGGGTCATGGCTGTTTCTGTTGAACGTTAATAGTTTGCATCTTTAAGAGACACACGTCCTGACTCATCTCCTTTGACTGATAAAACCTCATTATTTAAAATCATTTGAAAAAAAAAAAAAGACCGGCACTGAATTTTGAGACCATCCATTGTTTCCTGACTTAGATAATTGAACTCAACAGTGTTTTCGAAGCTTCAAATCTCTGGCTTGAAAGGTCTTCCGTGGAGAAGATGAGCGGGCACCTTTCCCTGGTGCCGGTGCCAGAGGGCTCTCATCCCCTTCTGCTTGGGCGTGGGCAGCTTGGTGCCCGGAGTCTTGCCAGAGCGAGAGTGGGCTCGGGGCCCTCCACCAGCCCCCTGGCCCGTCAGCCAGCCTCTTACTGCGGGGGGCTGCTTTCCTGTTTAAAGGGGAGACCTATGTCTTGGATTTTATTTTTGTAACAAGAGGGCTTTTGTGTTTTATTTTTTATTTTTTTCATGTTTTTATTTATTTTTGAGAGAGAGAGACTGAGAAGGAGAGGGGGAGGGAGAGGGAGACACAGAATCCGAAGCAGGCTCTGGGCTCTGAGCTGTCACAACAGAGCCCGACGTGGGGCTCGAACTCACAAATCATGACATGACCTGAGCCGAGGCTGGACGCTTAACTGACTGAGCCACCCAGTTGCCCCTTTTGTGTTTTAGTGTCTATGCTGTTTACAAGTGTTTGAGCAGTTCTTTTTTTTTTTTAATGTTTATTCATTTTCGAGAGAAAGAGAGACACTTCGTGAGAGGGGAAAGGGCAGAGAGAGAGGGAGACACAGAATCCAAAGCAGGCTCCAGGCTCCGAGCTGTCAGCACGGAGCCCCACGCGTAGCTCGAACTCACGAACTGTGAGATTACGACTTGAGCCGAAGTCGGACACTTAACCGACTGAGCCACCCAGGCGCCCCTACAAGTGTTTGAGTGGTTTTAATGCAGGTTCTCACACGTGCATCTGCCAAGTTCTTTTTTGTGCAGGAACCTACAATATGCCAGGTGCTACGCTAGGCCTGTGAGTACAGTCGTGAACAGAGCTGACAGAAATCCCTGTCCTCAGGGACTTGACATTCTAAGGGAGAGAAGATCGATAGCAAATCTATATAAGTACAGCACAGGGGCGCCTGGGTGGCTCAGTCAGTTAAACGTCCGACTTTGG